CCCCCCCCCCCCCCTCCATACTGGCCTTTTTATAGTGTTTTGCAGGGCTGATGTCATTGAGCTCATTTCTGTAGGCAGCGCTGAGAACAAGAACAAAACAGAAAGATGAGAATGAGAGGAGGGCTGTTGGTATTGTTGTCCAGAGGAGTACTAATACATACTGTACAAGTGTCTTTCTGCTGCTGCTTCTAATGAAATTCACACTCAGTTCAAAGCTGTTGATAATTTCATTAACCTGTTAAATGTCTGTCAACAAAAATAACATTTTATGTTTAGTTCATCATTGGTAACATTTACTGTCAGCAGTCGGTTCCTTTCCAGGTCTGACGCTCTGAACCAGTCACACACGTTTGAACAGATCCTCTGACCAGTTACTGAAAGACATTTGTTGTGTGATGCTCTCGTGCACATTCACCTCAGCCTCTCTCTCCCTCTCTCTCTCTCTCTCTCTCTCTCTCTCTCTCTCTCTCAGCTGCTGCTGGTCCTGTGAGGCCTTTCTTTAGTCTGGTGTGTAGTGGGTGGAATGCGGGCCAGTCAGACTGGGATCAGATGACTGTCCGGGGCATTTGAGGATCTCACAGTCGGTTACCTCTGGAAGCTCTCTGCCAATATGTTTAGGATTGTTGTCTCTCTTAGTGATTAGAATCTGATTGGACTCAAGCTCGTTAGGATAGATGCTGCTGTTTGGCCAACTGTGACACGGCCTCTGTGTGTGTCCACTGTGTGGTGTTTTTTTATAGTAAGTCCTCAGGGATGAACATCATGACATGATTTTTTTTTTTTCTCAGAGTCTCAGACCAGAACTGTCGTCACAACTATATTTAAATGTGTCTGTCTGTGTGTGTACACACCTAACGTACACACACTTGTGCATGTGTCCATCCAAATCTAAAAATACTCACCTTTTTAATTGAAGTTCAACGCTGATGTCATTAATAACAATTAGCTTTGGCAGAGTGTAGAGCGTTCAGCAGCGGCTTCCTGTTTCAAGTCGGCTTTGGTTAAAATAACAAAGCTGCCGGTGGTTGGATGCTTCAACCGTCGTTATTTAATTTGACGACGGACCCAGTTTTAAGTCTGGCTCGTGTCCAGACGTCTGCATTAAAGATAGTTTGAAGGATTAGAAAATATCAAATTAAAATAAAATTGAAGTCACTCCAGTGATGCTTTTACGATCCTAAGAAAAAGAAAATATTAGTGCCGGTCCGTAGGTCTGCAGTGGGAGACAGTAAAAAAAGGTTGGGGTGGTGTAAAAAGAAGGGTTTTTTTTTTTTTTTTTTTTTTTTTTTTAATTTTTCTTACAGAGACATTATTATTTCTTTGACATTTAAAGCATGACTATTAACAACTTCAACCGTTACTTTATTGCACAGCATCTATTTTGGTCAGGATAATTATGTCATGAAATTTTTAAACGGTCCCGTGACTGGTTGTTTCAGAACAGCCGAGAGGAACTCCCCCCCCCTCCCTCCCCCTCCCTCACTTTCTCTTCTCGTTCCTCCCTAACCTCTCCCTTTTTTCCCTCTCCTTACCTTTTTCCCTAAATTCTCTTCAGCAGTAACAGACCAACAGTGTATGAGCAGTAAACAAACAAACAAAAGTAAACAGAAAGTTATTTACGATACTTTTGAAGATAAGGATACAGATTATCCTGTGGTATAAATGTTTACAGAGTTAATCCCACTGATTTAATTCAATCTCCTAAATTGTTTTATTACTTACAGCAGCAGAGTTTTGGGAATGAGAAGAAAAAAAAAAACTTCTCAGAAATCTTTATCTCCTCATGTACAGATTATGCTAGCTGTTAGCAGTTGTTAGCAGCCGTTTGATTAAGAATGTAGCATCAAGTTGCTCTGTGACATTAAGGATGTCAACACAAATTACATTTAAGGTAGTTTTTGTTTTTTTTAGATGCTGGATTAACATGGTTTGACCCTTGAGCCTGAGTTGAGATTGACGAACCAGGAAGTGATCGGATGATGCAGCTGAAACATGTGAATAATGACAAGAGAAATGTGTCTTTTTAAACTAAAACCCTGGATATTTAATGTCACAGTAACTCAAGTACCATCTCATCTCCTCGTATGCTCTTGCGGAGGCTTCAACGTCAGACACCAAGCCCGCGATTCATTAGGATTGATGGTAATTAATCTGCAGGAACCCTGTGACTTATCACATTTCTTTGCTTCGACAGCTCCGGTTTGAACATCTGAAAAACTTCAACTTTGCGGTCGGACCTTAATGAATGAACAAAGGAAATGTGTCGGCCTTTCATACTTATGCACAAGTGTCTGTGTGTTGAAGTGCAGTCACTTCAACACTGTAATGATGGACTGAACGGTTTCCTCCAACTGGCCTTTTTCAACAGACCGTTCATTTGTGTGTTTGTGCACGCGTGTGTTTACCAGACTATAAATGTCTTCAGTTTGACGTCAGACCCTGGCTGCTGTGGAATGCTGCTCTCCTGCCAAACAGACTGTTGTACACACACTCACAGACCAGTCTCTCTCTCTTTCTCTCTCACACACACACACACTGTCTCAGTGTGTGTGTTCGAGTGGAAGGTGGGGGGGACACATGCGTCACACAGAAATGCCAGAATATTTGTTTATGTAATTTAGATCACTATGCTGCTCTCTCTCTTTCTCTCTCTCTCTTTCACACACACACACACACACACACACACACTTTGTTTATTCCTGGCTCACAAGTTTTGACCAACTTTTTCGTAAAGGCACCTTAGTGACTAACACGCCTAAATTCACAGGGCTAAAAAAAAACTTGAATGTCCCGTCCAATGATCCTTCACTGTCACGTTTGAGGTCAGAGGTCAGAGCTCAGTTTAGGAATAAAGATGATAAAAATCATCCCTACTTAATGCATCACAATCCACTTGGACGGTGCTAATTGCCTTAGCCTGGATGTGGGTTTAAAACCCCGGTGCCAGAGACTGAGCAGCCACACATCAGAACACGTCGCTCTGGAGAGGTCGTGATGCAGGCTACACATTAGCTACATCCTAATAGGATTTCCTCTCCGGACTATAGACAGGAAGTGTGTGTGTGTGTGTGTGCGGGGTCTTCCAAGAAGTAGCTTCAATTCCGTGTCACTGCTTGTTTGAAAGTTGATCAGTGAGAAGTTTGTCTCTGCCTTGACAATTACTAAATTCAAATAGAACGTTGTAAAACACTGATCTTATTTGTGAGTTGTTTTTTTTTCTTATTTTTTCTGCACAATGTCCCTTTCCCATGATGCTACTGGACTTGCATTCTAAGTTAGTAGTTTTCGTAGGTAGAATCGTTGGCCAATCAGGATGATCTGTGACACTCCTGTTGGATTGGGTTTGTCCTTAGATGAAAACTCTCTCTGCCGTATGCTCGTGTTTTTACCTGCTCCAGATCCCAGGGGGTTTAATTTAATTTGCAGGGATCAGTGGGAAACTGTCAAAACACAGAGACTACGGGGGGGGGGAGATGAGGGGGGGCAGAGGGACGGAGCTGAGACGTGATCTGATGTTGTACTTTAAGTGCATTCCGAGCCGTGACACGATGTTTGATGCGCTGCTCATTTGCTCTGATGACGTCATCGTGCACAGTTGGATGGATTCTGAATAAAAAAATGTCACAAAGGTCACTAGGTCACTTTTAGAATTTTAAAAACATGACCTGACATTTATCTGTGGATCTGCTGATCTCATAAATAGTCAGTAAAGGTTCCGTGTCTCCTGCAGCCAATCCAGATTATATTCTGTACTTTCCCGACAAACTGCTTCTATTGTTTCATTGTTTACTTTTTTTAAAAATAATTTCCTAACTGGCTGTGTTTATGAAAGCGTTTCTGTGTCTGTTTCTTTAAGGCAAACCACACTGACACATGGGCTAATCTAAAGTCAAGGTAACGTGAAGGCGGCCGTACAGCAGCGGTGCCTGGTGCAAGGCTAATGCTAGGCCTGTGGCTATTTTTAGGCGTCGGGACGCAGTGTTCCTCTTTTTATTACAGCATCAACACAACTGTATAAAAATTGCCTTCGTGCGCGTACACGTGCGTGCACCTCGCTGTGCACGTGATCGCCGTCAGTGATGTAACAGCCCGCTGCAACCCTGACAACGTTTTCCAACACCATCAATCACTCACTGCTCCCTTGTCTGTTCCTGTGTCCTGCAGTGGTGGAGGTGAAGAGCAGCCTCCCGTCGGGCATGCAGAGCCCAGTAGGAACAGCCAGCGAACACAGGGGAGGAGGAGGAGGTGGAGGAGGAGGAGGAGAAGCTGGTGAGTCCTCCAACAGTCCTTGATGGAGGGGTGAGGGAGGGGGGCAGGTTGGTGCGTACCTAAAAGTAGCCCAGAATACCAGGGGGGATTTCAGGGGATCGTGAGGGTCCTTGGGTCGGATGATTCATGTGTGACTTTAAAACGATTTATTTTTACATTTTTCAGATTTTTTTAATCTCCTGGGAATGTTAGACTAACGTTGTTTCTGCTGAGTGGTTTAGACGAGGATGTGAACAATGAAACAATTAAATATTAACACTGTGTCTGTGGTTATACTAAAGTCACATTTCACAAATATTTGATACTTTTCGTCTCAGTTTAGAAAATTTAAAATACAGATGAATGAATCAATGTCCTGTTTTGAGGTCGTTGTTAATTAAAAAAACTCAGTGCTGACGTTCAAGATGTCCTGTTTTGAGGTCGTTGTTAATTTCAAACTCGTGCTGACGTTCAAACAATAACACATGCATGAAATTCATGCAACTTAAGCAAAAAAAAAGGGAAAAAAGACACAAAAAAACTCTGTGATGTTAAAACCACACTGTTTATGATGAACCTTTTCTCAGGTGGAGGTTCAGGCGACGGCCCCGGAGGAGGTGGAGGAGGTCCGGTGGACCTGAGAACAGAATCCAGGGTAGGCTCTCTGTCCGGGGGTTCGGTGTCGGTGGACACCACCCTCAGAGAGCAGCAGCTCCAGCAGGAACTGGTGCTACTGAAGCAGCAGCAGGAGCTGCAGAAACAGCTGCTGTTTGCAGAGTTTCAGAAGAAACACGAAGTGCTAACGAGGCAACACGAAGTCCAGCTGCAGGAACACCTGAAAGTAAATATAGTCCTGGAATCTTTCACAGCTCGTGGTGGGAGCGAACCATCAGGACAGCAACCGGGAGACTTTTAGTAAATGTGTGTATGTGTGTGTGTGCGCCCGTGTATGTGTGTAAGCAACAACAGGAGCTGCTGGCAGCAAAAAGGCAGCAGGAGCTGGAACAGAAGAGGAAACTGGAGCAGCAAAGACACGAGGAGCAGGAGAAGCAGAGGCTGGAGCAGCAGCTGCTCCTGCTGAGGAACAAGGAGAAAGGCAAAGAGAGTAGGTCCACGCTCCTGCCGCTGATGTCATCACTCACTTCCTCCTCATGCTCCTCGGCGCTGTGACCGTTGTCCTTGTCTTTGTGTCTCTGAAGGTGCCATCGCCAGTACTGAGGTGAAGCTGAAACTCCAGGAGTTCCTCCTCAGCAAGAAGGAGCCCGGCCCTGTCGGACTAAACCATTCCTTCTCCCCGAAGAGCTGGTGAGGTCAACTGGAGTTCATAACCAGACAAAACGATCACAAAAGTATATTTATATAATCAAAGGTTCAGTTTACTCACAATTTACTGACTTGTAAAGGTTTAGTTGGACACAACAGGGATATAATCGCAGGAATTGAAGAAAAACACAGAAGAAGAACTCAACAGTTCTCAGCCATCTGCTGCCCCCTGGGGGATAGTACCTGGTTGATCTGGCCAGGGAGCCGTAGTGAATTGTTTTGATGTTTTATGTCATGTGATATGTTGCACACCATATATGGTATATGTCATCTTACATATCCTAAATATATGTTATATAAATATAACAAGTAACGGTTCGAAATGATCATGTTAGCAGCAGTAAGGAGAGTTTTTTCCAAAGAGTTTTTTTTTTTAATCCCATCTTTCAGCAACTTTCTGGGAGAAAATCGGTTAAAGAAGCGACTCAGGAAAAAAAAAAATTATTCTCACAGTTACAAAGAACTCATTCATGGAAATGTTGGCAGTGACTAAATGAAGCAGGAGTACGTTGAGCAGGTCGACAGAAAACCACCTCATTCTGTCACTTCATAACGGCTAACTGTGTGTGTGTGTGTTTTGCAGGGGAGTCCAGCACAGTTCCCTGGAACAGAGCTCTCCTCCGCAGAACAACACACCAGGAACTCCTCCTTCCTATAAACTGCCCCCACTGTTGGGGAACTACGAGGGCAAAGATGATTTCCCGCTGCGCAAGACAGGTAGGAGACAACCATTAAATGTGTGTGTGTGTGTGTGTGTGTTTGTCATCTTCTAAGATGACTCAGTTTTGACTCAACTGTAAAAAGACAGAAAAAGTATAAAGACGTGACAGAGACGAGTGAGAGACGTTTTAAAGTTTGAGATGAATTCCTGAAAAAAAACCAAAAACTTCTGAACTAACTTTGACATTAGCTTTAAGTGATAACACTACACTGAAGCTGGATAAAAAAATTAGCTAATTAACGTTTCAGGTTTTTAAATCTCCTCCAGTCTGCAGCTGCAGTGTTGATGAAATAAATGTATATAATTCTTAGTCTAATTCTTTATAAGGAGCTGAACCTATGTTAATACTACAGTGGGGGGGTGCGTGGGGGGTGGAGTTTAAACAGCAGTACAAACACACGTCACATCAGCATTTAGTCAGAAATGTCTCTCCAACACCATCCCTGCTTCAGTTATAGGGTTCACTTGTCTCCATGGCAACGACACATTACACTCCAACTTGCTCTTTTAGTAAAAGCTATGATCCTGATTATTTACATCTACATTAGAGCGCTTTTTTTTTTCTTTTCTTTTCTTAAATCTTTGTTTCAATAATGAATAAAATGAAGAGAGACGACATGTAGCTGTGCTCTGTTACTGTTCTGGAACAGCAGAAACACTCTTTGGTCGACAAGTGTGTTCCGTTGGCAGCGCAGCAGTAATCATCGCCCTGACGTACGGACGTCACCGCCGCCCCGTCATTAGCTCCATTTTAGAGGCACTTATGCAAATCAGATGAACTGAAGTATAAGGATTATTTACATATGTTGCTCGTCACCACTCTTAGTAATTACCCCTCCGATGTGAAATGAAGGGTCGCTGACAGAAACCGTCTGCATCGGGTGGACACCCGGACGGAAAAAACAACGATTCACGAATGCACGTTATTGGTCAAACACGGTCAAAACAATTATATTTGCTAAAATAATTTAAAAAAAAAAACATGTTTAGCCCTGATGGACTTTTTAACCTGGAATAAAAAAATGACTCTTTTTATTTCTTTTATCAGTTGGAGTGGGAGGGGAGAGGAGGGGAGGGTGGGAGGGTGTGGGGAGTGGGAGGGTGTTTGTTGTACAAAGGCTCTTCAAAAATTCCTGAGGTGCTACATTAGTAGGAAAACTCCTTGTTGCACAGTTTCCACACAGTCATACTCTTATCCGAGCTGCCATCTGGACGTTAAAAATAAAATAAATAAATAAATAAAAAATCCAAATTCCTCCCAACCAGCCAAGCAATGCGGTCTCGTCTTCCATTCACCAAAATTCCGTGTCCACTGACGTTTTTCAGTGCTTTCTGTGCATCTTTTTCAAACGAACTTTGGGTGCAATACTGCCACCAAGTGGCAGCAGTGTTGCCGTTAAACCACTTCACATCTTTGGAGACTAGAACCTGGGAGAACTTCACTGGCTGTTGCCCTCAGGTCCTGCAGCAAAAGAAAATGTACAGAGACATGAACTGATGACCTTCATACGCTTAATAATTGCACCATAAATCTGAATGTTTTAAAAAAAAAATCTATAAATATGTCATTAAATAATGTGGCTCTGGGTCTGGTCTAGTTTCGGAGCCCAACCTGAAGGTGAGGTCGAGGTTGAAGCAGAAGGTGGCAGAGAGGCGGAGCTCTCCGCTTCTACGCCGGAAGGACGGCACGGTGATCAGCACGTTTAAGAAAAGAGCCATAGAAATATCAGGTGAAGATAAATGTCACGGGAAATATATAAATATATATGTATATATGTAGAGTATACGACCCTGGTCTGACCTTGTCCTCTGTCCCCGTCACGTCCACCAGTCTCCTCCCTCTGTAACAGCGCTCCAGGTTCAGGTCCCAGCAGTCCCAACAGTTCCAACACAGCCATCGCCAACGGCAACACGGGATCAGTCCCCAACATACAGACCGAGGTAAAAACCCTCCTCCAGCAGGAGATTTTATTCTGGAAACTCCATGCTGTCGTTTTCAAAGTCTTCTTTTTTCACTTTTAATGTGACGGAAGCTCAAGCTTGCCCCCTAGAGTTGACTAGGAGAAGAATTGTAAAGCAAAAAAAAAAGAGATTTAATACAGATGAAGGGAAAGTAAAAAATACAACTTTTATTTAAAAAAAAAAAACTCCGTAATTAAAGTAATTTCCTGGCTTCTGATTGGTTGCAATGTGGTGAAGGATGAAGACGATTTGAAAGTGAGATCAGTGGGAAAAATAACTGTGGAGTAATTCATCTGAGCATCTCAGGTTTTTGTTCTTCAGCTCTGTTCTGCGTGTGTGTGTGTGTGTGTGTGTGTGTGTGTGTGTCAGGTCTCAGTGATTCTGCCTTTGGTTTCCTTTTACCATTTTTAGCTGCACATTTTGTGTCTCTGTTGTAATTTATGTGCCGTAATGAGTTCCCATATTTAGAAATGCTTTTTCAGCACGTTCTCTACCTGGTTGTAGACGAAGATGTTTCATTAATAAAACCAATTTTCTTTTTTTTTTTCATGGCCTGCCTGTGGATACTTGCAAACTTATCTCTGATGATCAAGCTTGTAAATAGTTTTTTTTTTAACAGTCAACTTTTTGAATTCACCTGTGATTCTGTGACTTTATGTTGAACGTGACCAGAACCATTTTTGAATTCACCTGTGATTCTGTGACCTTATTTTGACCAACGTGACCAGAACCAGAACTGACGCTCTGTCTGTTCTTCCGTCTGTTGCTGCAGTTGAGGTCTCTCCACCAGACCATCGGTGCTGATGGGACTTTGAGTCCACTCAGTCTCTATACCTCACCATCTCTGCCAAATATTTCCCTGGGTCTCCCGGCGAACACTCACATCACGGTGGGTCAACACGCACACACGGACACACACACACACGTCAACATGTAAAGGCAGAGTACAGGTGGAAGTACATGTTGTATTCCTGATGAAGTACTTACACCACTGGTGCTGAGTTTTTATCTGTTTTATATGAACTGAAAAGTACAGCGATGTGATGATGTTCCTGGAGATTATCTGTAGTCGACGGTTCAAACCCAGGAGGCAGACGTGCTAACCACTGCACCATGGAACCACATGTTCATCTGTTTGTGTTCTGTGAGCTTCAGTTCTGACTTTACATCAGTGACCTCTTTAAGACACAGAAAGTGTCACTTCACTCTGGAAAATATGATGTGAACTGGATGATTAACGTCAGTTTTTCAAACATACCATTCTGCAGTCGTCGGGATAAACACGGAGCTGCTCTGTCTTCTGTAACCTGCCCCCCCCCCCATCCACCTCCCCCCATCATCCTGTGAGACTTTCCTTTTCGAGTAGGCCTGTGGAAGCGTTTGCCCGTTCATCAGAGCGGCATTCGTGGCGTCGGACCCTCAGAGACATTTGCTCTATTTTAACCAAAAAAGGTGTTTGACGCCGTTCCAAAAGTAACTCAGCACCTACTGTTTACCATTCTCTTAGTTTATGATGACAGGGTTATTTTTTTAAACATCTCTGTGGTGGCTGTTACTGAATGGTAACCATGTACACAATCACAATCACCCCCCCGCTGCCCCCCTGCAGGGCCCCCAGAAGCTGTCGACCCAACAGGAGGCTGAACGTCAAGCCATCCAGTCGCTGCGAGGGGGGGGCACTTTGACGGGGAAGTTTCTCTCCACGTCCTCCTTACCTGCAGGTAAACATGTCAGCGACAGGTTTTCATACCAGTTTACACCGTGAACGACTGTTGGTTTGGTCTGACGACGACGACGACGCCGTGTTTCTGTGCAGGAGCCGGACACGATGTGGAGTCCACACCAACCAGCTCCCACTCGGCCCACTCCTCATTACTGCAACATGTTCTACTGCTGGAGCAGGCTCGACAACAGACCGCTATGCTAGCTGGTATGTACACACACACACACACACACACACCTGCAGCGGAGGTCACACCAGCAACACTGTCCACTCTGTGTCCAGTCCCCATGTACAACCAATCACCACTGGTGACGGCAGAAAGAGGCGTGGCCAGCGGCATGCGCTCCGTCAACAAGTTGCCTCGCCATCGGCCGCTGGCTCGTACCCAGAGTGCACCTCTGCCTCAGTCCCCCCAGGCCCTGCAGCAGCTGGTGGGTCAGCCGCAGGACCCGCGCTTCCTGGCGAAAAACTA